GTTCAATGTTTAACACTTCAGGTTTTTTGATTTTTTTTTTTCTTTGTTGTCTTCGTTCTTACTCCATTTTTTTGGTGAATTGAGATATTTCTTGAATCAGGTTCTTTATTTCATCTTCATTTCGGCCCAATGAAATTATCAATTACATTGTACTTTTAAAATTATTTATCAATGAGTTAAGATCAATCATTTGATTTTAAATTTCCTCATCTAAGCTATGTAATTCAGCCTATAATTTTTGCACATCTTCAAGCAATTCTTTAAATACTCTAACTAAACTATTTTTTTTAAACTCTTAAATTGCTTTCTTCCAATCAGAAGGGTATTAATATTTAATAATCTAGAATTATAGTCTTTTTCATAAATCTAATTGATCAAAATCTTTTTTGGATATTTAACATGCGATTTGATTTTTAAGAATCATTTGTGAATCTCCAATGAAACTTATATTCAATATATTCTGGATTTTAGATATAGAGCTTGATTTTTATTAATAAGGTTGCATTCATTATAATCCAAATTATAGTTCTTGACTTTTGGTAAAAAAAAATAATTTAATTTATTTAATTCATCAAATGTTATCTCATGATTTATATCTGGAATAATTCTCTCATTTTTCAATTAGAAATCTCAATTTAATCCATAATTGATTTTGCAAGATCTTAAAAGGCTTGTTTAAGTATGTCTTTTTTTTATTCATAATCAGGTACATGAAAAACGTCATATATATAAATACTCACCTTTTTTTAAGACTAATTAATGATTTAATATTAAGGTTAATTTCTTTTACATCCTTTTTTATTTCCAATTCTTTGTCTTTTAAATTCTCCTTCAATATCTCCCACCTTTGAGCTTCAGAAAGATTTAACGTTTCTATTCCTTTCTGATATTAAGATAAAATTTGTTTTTTGTTCTACTTAGGCATGCTTTTGTTTTCAATATCAAGTCCATATGAAACAGTTCATTTATAATTTTTATAAATCCTCTACAGAAATTAATTCGTCAGATTTTAGTGAGAGGTTTGCTTCATTGCTGAGTTTACTAATTTCCTTTTAAGTTATGAAGCCATCAGAAAATCTCCATTAATATTGCTGATTTGATAGGAACCTTTATATCAATGACCTCATTGGTTTAAGGTGGATTGCCTGCTTTTGTATTTGTTTCTTGGAGTACTGAAAGTATTAGTTTTCTTTATGAATTCTGAGATTACCAAATAATTATTGGAAATTTAAGTTTTTCAGTGATCTCTATCCTTTTAGGGCCAACAGGGTTTTTAGTTTAAGTTTCCATCTCAACAATCCTTCAAATATCCATTAATAAATCTGGAAAATTTCCTTAATATACTCTTCAGAGCTTTTCTCGAAATGCTGGGTTTCATTGGTGTTTACTAAATTAAGTTTATATGTTTGCAAAGCAACAGATTAGTAGATTTTATTTGCTATGTATACAAACTTAAAATAGTAGTTTTTCAAACTGGGCAACAGTTATAAATTTGATTGATTTTTAAACTTCAATATTATTTTAATTTGTGCATAGAATTTCAAATAGGATTCAATTAGAAATTTTGATAATCCCTTAAATTTATTATGAACCAACACAGAATTGTTATCACCTACAATAGTTCATATTGTGTTTAAGCAATTAGATCTAATAATATTTGGATCCAATATTTAGTCATAAGCAATTCATTTTATAAATGCTAAGAAAAGGTGTATTCAAGAATCTTGATCGGAATTTCAAGTGTTGGCTGATTCGGATTCTGAACATACAAAATTACAGCCCATTTTATGATTTAATAAAAGCAATACAGTTCAAAATGGTTGATCTCCTTCTCATTTGAATCAAAATTATAATTTAATCATTGTTGATTTTCTTGAATAATATATGCACATGAAATGTTTATTGAATATTGAATAAATCCTTCTGAATCCTCAGAGAAGTAGCCTTATCCTTTTAAAAATTTTTATATGCAATTTCAAAAATTGATATTTCATAAATGAAAAGATTTTGTTCTATTGCTGCTTTTTACAAGTCTTCAGCATATTAATTACGATGTTAATAAGGCAAAAAGGAAACTTTTAGTCTTACTTGAAACTTATATTAAATTTTTTTCATGAAAAAAATTTAATATAAGTTTCAAGTAAGACTAAAAGTTTCCTTTTTGCCTTATTAACATCGTAATTAATATGCTGAAGACTTGTAAAAAGCAGCAATAGAACAAAATCTTTTCATTTATGAAATATCAATTTTTGAAATTGCATATAAAAATTTTTAAAAGGATAAGGCTACTTCTCTGAGGATTCAGAAGGATTTATTCAATATTCAATAAACATTTCATGTGCATATATTATTCAAGAAAATCAACAATTATTAAATTATAATTTTGATTCAAATGAGAAGGAGATCAACCATTTTGAACTGTATTGCTTTTATTAAATCATAAAATGGGCTGTAATTTTGTATGTTCAGAATCCGAATCAGCCAACACTTGAAATTCCGATCAAGATTCTTGAATACACCTTTTCTTAGCATTTATAAAATGAATTGCTTATGACTAAATATTGGATCCAAATATTATTAGATCTAATTGCTTAAACACAATATGAACTATTGTAGGTGATAACAATTCTGTGTTGGTTCATAATAAATTTAAGGGATTATCAAAATTTCTAATTGAATCCTATTTGAAATTCTATGCACAAATTAAAATAATATTGAAGTTTAAAAATCAATCAAATTTATAACTGTTGCCCAGTTTGAAAAACTACTATTTTAAGTTTGTATACATAGCAAATAAAATCTACTAATCTGTTGCTTTGCAAACATATAAACTTAATTTAGTAAACACCAATGAAACCCAGCATTTCGAGAAAAGCTCTGAAGAGTATATTAAGGAAATTTTCCAGATTTATTAATGGATATTTGAAGGATTGTTGAGATGGAAACTTAAACTAAAAACCCTGTTGGCCCTAAAAGGATAGAGATCACTGAAAAACTTAAATTTCCAATAATTATTTGGTAATCTCAGAATTCATAAAGAAAACTAATACTTTCAGTACTCCAAGAAACAAATACAAAAGCAGGCAATCCACCTTAAACCAATGAGGTCATTGATATAAAGGTTCCTATCAAATCAGCAATATTAATGGAGATTTTCTGATGGCTTCATAACTTAAAAGGAAATTAGTAAACTCAGCAATGAAGCAAACCTCTCACTAAAATCTGACGAATTAATTTCTGTAGAGGATTTATAAAAATTATAAATGAACTGTTTCATATGGACTTGATATTGAAAACAAAAGCATGCCTAAGTAGAACAAAAAACAAATTTTATCTTAATATCAGAAAGGAATAGAAACGTTAAATCTTTCTGAAGCTCAAAGGTGGGAGATATTGAAGGAGAATTTAAAAGACAAAGAATTGGAAATAAAAAAGGATGTAAAAGAAATTAACCTTAATATTAAATCACTAATTAGTCTTAAAGAAAAGGTGAGTATTTATATATATGACGTTTTTCATGTACCTGATTATGAATAAAAAAAAGACATACTTAAACAAGCNCTTTTAGTCTTACTTGAAACTTATATACGACTAAATTTTTTTCATGAAAAATTCATTATGTTGAAGATATTATTGAAAAATGACTTGACCTTTATAATATTTCGTCATATCATCATAATCCTGTTTTCAATGATTATGATTTTATTGTAATAGATATTTTCAGGTTCTTCTTATGTTAATTCTGACTTGCAGTAACACGAAGTAACACTACCTTAAACTAATTTTCTTAAAGTAGTTACTTATTTGATTCCAGTTTTCTTAAATTGAAAACCAATGCTCAGATCGCTTTTAGGTAGCCGAGCTAAGATACTTTTAATAGGCAAAATCTATGCTCTAGCATAATGTAATTGACCAGTTTAGCAAGCTTTATTTATTTAAGATTATTTATTTTAAATTTCACCCCTCTCATGTAATATATTGTCTCATAGTCAGTATAATGATGCAAGTTAATTTGATAATCATTAATATGCCTGACATTTGGAGGTCTATGGTTCTTCATGGTGAAAAAAAGTTAATTTCTCGACTTAATTTTCTTCTAAAAAGAAGAAAGGATTAATAATTTTCAAAGATGCTTAGATTTGGTTATCAACTCAACCTGAAAAAGTAAGATAAAAAATAAACTCAACTTTATCTGATCGATATTACCTTTTTTTGAATAGAAAAGAATTATTTCTAAAGGATGGAATTAGTCATTTCTGATTAAAACTTGCTTTTATATTCTTGATAAACAAATTAATTCAATTTGAGATCACAATAAAATGTATTTTGTTTGAAATATTTTTTCTTGGTAATCTTAATGTTCTTTTTTGATTTAATTGGATCCCAACACTCCTCCTGGTACCATTTAATTAAATTTATTAAAGCTCTTACGTCGGCTATATTTGAATTGTTTGATGAAGTGTAAAATGAAAATATGACTTCATTCTTGAATTGGAAGTTAAGACAATATAAGAAACTCCACCATATAAAGATTTCTATTTTATTATCCAGATAAATCGATAAAAACTGGTAATTAGTCTACAAAAAGTAAAGGAGCATAATTGGATTCATTACTATGACCAATCTCACTTATATATCGATTTTTCTAAACCTCATACTCTATATTTGAATAGTTTTCATAATTACCCAGTATAGAATGTATTGGGTTTCTGTCTAGCGAAGGCAATTTCTAAACTAAATTCTATACCTATTCCAATCACGTAAAAGATTTTAGTGAATTATTAAAAGATTATGAGTAATAGCAAATTATATTTTATCTCTACACTTCCCAATTACTCAAATTGTTTTTGGCTTAAAATATATAATCAAAATCTACCAAGTTTTAAACGTCAATTATTCTTAAGATTTGGCTTTTATATGAGTTTCTTTAAAATGAAAGAGGAAGGAAAACTAATTGTAAATTTTTTTTAAATTACGGAGATTGGTAGGAAACTATACTCAATGCAGAATTCCCCTTCTTATCATAAAAACCATTAGAACCTGGCTAAATCTGAAATAATAAAAGTGTAAATTAAAGAAAGTATAAAGTTCTTGAATACCTTAAAAGATAAAAGAAAATTTACTTTCACATCTATCACATATGGAAACCAAATCAATGAAATAAAGAATAAATTGTAGCTAAATATTTATACAAATAAACAAAATAAAATTATACTAAAAACAATAAAAATAGAAGAAGGCTTTCAATTTGAAACTCTTACTTTAGTTACAGTTATAATCATTTCATTACTACTTTTTAATCCTTTGTAGAAAATTATAGCAATGTCAATCCGCCATAATAATTTAGATTAGGGAACTTTAAGATTTTTTTATTTATTTAAAAAATAAAGTTAACTGCAGATTCAATTAGTTTTTTAAATACAATCAAATTTGTATTTTGAATGAGTCTATCTTTATTAACTACTGGAATTATTCTATAATATAATTGGTAAATTGATATTAACTTAAGATATACTCATTTATTTTCTTTACTTTTGGCATTTCATTATTTCCTATTTTTATAGAAAATTCAATTTAGAATTTATCTTAAAAATGATATCTCATATGGTCAGCTCAAGAAATTACAATAACACTGTAAATATTAATTCTAGTTGAGAAAAGATCAATATTAATTTGACTTTGATTGAATTAAGATTTCCTTTTTAAAATCAGTTAAGAATCAAATACAGAAACAATAAAATTACTTTTTAAATTGATATAATATTGCCTTACTTTAGTCTAAATTCATAATGATAGGGTAGAAAATGAAATACTTGTATAAAACATTTGGTTATAAATTTAAAGGAATTATAACTTCCATAATTCAAATTTGAGAGGTAATACTTCTTCTTCTATCATATATTTCAATTAGGCTGTTTCTTTGGTTTTCAAAATGCTCTAAATAAGGTTTTGTCAATACTTGATTGTACGAGCACTTAAAAACACTTATATTTTGGAGCGATTTTACTCAAGTTGAGAAAGAGTACTGGAATTTGTAAAGTATTTTAACTTTGTCTGAAATCAAGGCTTATTATTTCTTCTACGAGTTTTCAATTTTGATACGACATTTTTAAAGGGGATGACAGTTCAATCACAAGAAACGTAATGATTAGATAATAATATCTGAGAACATAAAAGTGTAAATTTAGAACCTCAAACTCGGTAACAGCCATCGTCAACAATCATTTCCATTCTAATAATTATTTATTGAATATGATGTAAAGAACTCTTGAGTTTATTTGAAGTATTTCTTGATCTCATGCCATAAAAAATTTAGATCCTTAATTTGATTCAAAAGTTATGCTTATTTGTTAACTAGATAATTTTATTCTCTAATTAAAAGTCGCAATTAATCAAAACTACTATTAAAAAGGAAAATTTTCAATGTTAACAGTTAAACCTTGCTCGAATTAGTAAGAGGTGAATTTTAGATAGAGGTTTCAGAGGATTAAATCCTTTTAAGTTTTCTATTGGATTCAACTCTTTAATTTTAAGAACAAACTGAAATACATCTAACAAAATAATATGAAGGAAGTGTGAAGCCACTTTGGAAGAATACTTTTTAGAACCACTGTCTCTAACAAATTTCTTAAGTGAAGCATTTATAATAAATTGATTGTATAAGGATTTAACAAATATTATATTGGACAGTCATTAACTGCTATATATTGGAAAAGAGATAATTCTTTATTGAGACTGTTATTGCATTGCAGAAGTTTTCATCAAACATTTGGCCAACTTTCTAATAATTTCTTTAGATTACCAATCTTTCGAGCCTCGATGCAAACTTCTTTATTTAATCTATATCTGGTTAGATAGAAATAATTATACTATTAATATTCTTAGTTCTCAAACTCTTAGTATTTTTCAAACTGATATTTACACATATATGATTGTGCTTATTCTGACTGGGTTAAATTACAGAATTAAAAAATTACAAAATAATAGTTATTATATTTTCTGGAACTACCTTATTATTTCAAATTGAATTTGTTTGTGCTAAACTATATAACACAAAAATGAAAATTTTATTAACGAGATCAGTTTTAAGTAATAAATCAAAAATAACTTAACTTTATAATTAGTTGCACATGATGAAGATGAAATATGTGTTACACTGCTTACAATATGTTTAACAAAATTTATAATACATTAAATATAATACTATTTGAGGCCGAAATATCGAATTTAATTGTGAATTTGTAAATAGAGATTGTTTAGAAAGTTTATAAAAGAATTACTTATCATAGTAATTTTCTATAATCTGACTTTTTTAAATTTTAGCATCCTAAAAGTTTACTTTATACTTTATAGTTACAAGTATGCTTTGAATTAGAAGTGGGTTAAAAGCATCAAAATAATAACCCATGAGATTTTGCAATGTTTCTTAAGAATATAAAGCGAACTCTCTTAATTCTATTTTAATAAAACAGCTGTTCCTTTGTCAAAAAAATCATTATATTCAACAACATTTGTCTTCGAGCCTCTAGGTTCGACCAGGTTAGTTGAGGGCCCTTATATTTAATTCTAAATCTCTTACGCCTTTTATATTTACTGTCCACTACTACATAATTGTGTCCATTCTAAGTCTCCCGCAGGTCCGAAGACGATGGGGGAGGTTCAGAAAGCAAAGCTTCCTAACATCCTAATTATGACATCATCAGCAAATATTTTATAAAAAAATTTTAAATCATTATATTTATATAATGACGATTTCTTGGATT